TATTTTCTTTACATTTCATTTGAATCCTAAATTAATTTTTAAAATTTATTTCACAAAGATATTATTAAATATCAAAATTTTTTTCTTCTTTTTCAAAAAGGACAAAAACAAGTACACCATACAGAAATTTAGAGAATTTTTCATAAAAGTAATTGAAACAATATTACTAAAATTGTGATAAAAGAAAACGAATTTTAGACAAATGAAAGTAGTACAAAAATTCAGTACAGTTTTTAAGTTATTTTAAAAATTGAATTAAATAAATGAATAGAAGTTGTATTGCAGCACCATCCAATTGAAATTAAATGAAATATTTTAATTCCTTTGAAAGGTTATAAACTTTTTTAACAACTACAGCATTCACATCTTATCAATTAATAATCCAATACTTATTACTTTTTATCATTGATGTAGAGCATTGAAATGCCTTACAAATTACGATAATTCTCAATTTTTTGCAAGTATAACGTTTATTGTAGTCAATTTTTTTTAAAGAACATGAATTCAAGTAACATGGATTATAAGAAGCTCCAACGAAATACAGATTGGATGTCGAATTTTCGGTGAAAACGCACTTTTTCATATTAAGACTTTTTTGTGTGCCGATTTTATATTATTGCGTTTATAAAGAGAAATAATCAACCAATTACCTTCTAATTTAAAATTTTAATTGGGGGTAAACAATGAACCTGTACTCTTTTTTTGGAAGGATTAAAGCTAGGAAACCGAACTAGTGGCCGATTTTACGTTTGTTACCATATGTGCTGAACTAATTGATGATATTTCGTAAAATGCAATATTTGAGTTCTGCTTATCATCAAAATACACTGGCAAACTTTTCGGTGAATTCGAGTGGCACGAAGCGAAACACTGTCATGAATCAAATTTACATATTCTGAAGAATGTGAAGTTAGACAACATACACTCCAGTCAGTTATGTGCTTACCACATCAAATTTTTTTTCGAATAGCTCTCTAAAAGTCTTCCTGCTTGGTAGGGTTTTGTTCTTGGTAAAATTTAATTTTTTTTCAATACTAAAAAGAACAGACGAATGGTAAGACTAGTAATTTTGCAAGTTCTAATGAATTTTTTTTATTCATACTTACATTCGTATATACATACATATTTATGTACATATGTATGCATAAGTGCGTAATAGATTACATTTAATTATTTTTAATATTTTTTCAAATAAATTATGTTTTTTTATTTTAAAAAAGAAATTCTTTAGAAATATTCCTATTTTTGAAAACATAAATACTTGGAAACTAAAAAAAAACTTGTTTGAAATTGAGAAAAAGAAAAAAAAATTCCTAAATAATTCAATTATTTTATGAAGAAAAAAAAAACTCAAATTTAAATTGAAATTTGAAAATTAAAATTAAAAATTTTAATAAAATTTCACATCCCTCTAGATTGTTTATTTTTTTCTGTTTTAATTTTTCCTCTTTTGCTTTTTTCATTAAAATATTCTTGTTATATTTTATGTCCTTTAATTTTAAATTTCCTTTGATTAAAATTTCTTTTTTTTTTCTTATAATTTCAACTTTTTGAAATTTTAGATTTCTTTTTTTTTCTGTTCTTTTTACTAAAAATTTTGTGTGATATCTTTTTTTACTTTGATCCATTCAAATTAGTTTATATGAAAGTATGTATAGGTACATGTACGTAAAAAATACATGCATATATCCTTTTTATCTTAGTTTAAAAAAACAAGAAGAGAAAAGAGAGAAGAGGAATTGAAAAGACATGACATTTAAATCTTATCTAATGAAAAGATTGATGATTAATGAATTAATTAGTGAAAAACAAACTTAATTTAGAAGTTAAAAAAAAAAAATTTAAGATTAGAAGAATAATAGAAAGATTACATTAAATAAATGATGTTAGATAAATTAAGCTAGTAAACACGTACATATTGTAAGAAATATTAAAATTAGCTTAAATAAAGTAAAGAAAATTACTTTTCCAAATAAATTTTAAATTTTTGACTTTGATTTCCGGTATTCCAGTATTACAAATATATTTGATTGGTTTTATTTTAGGTCCTGCCATGAGTTTAACACTAATTTTATTTAAAATTAATAAAGAAAATATAAGCAGTCAACGCTGGATCTGACCATAACCAATTGAAATTGATATGCATCGGAAAACAAGGCCGCCATTGAAAACTAAGCATAAAAGACTAAATTTTATAAAAAAAAAAAATTCAGTTTTCTCCAATAGGTGACTTTCAAAATTTTTTTCTTTCTATTTACGGCGAAATTAATTTGATAACATACATAGACTAATACACAAACATTACGAAACAAAAAGCTGAAAACCTAATTCCAAGCCTTAATTCTATGACCAGTCTAATGTTTAAGTTACAAGAAAGTGATTTACTTTCTTGCAATTCGCAATGTTTATTTCATAAGGTTCTTGCTTTGAGACGGCACTTTTTATTAATTGCGTAGGATGCCGAACAAATTAGGCGCCGTGTTGTGAGTACTTTTTCAGAATTACTAGTATGAGAAGTAGTCTATATTTTGTACACAATAATACACATATTAACTAAATACTAAATTTTACATTAGTATATGTGCGTTTTATGCGTACTCTAGAACTGACAGGTCTATTCTGGGTGATTTTAAAGTTTTCTTCCTTCAGATAACTAGGTAAGCCAGATACTCAGAACTTCACTATACTCTTATATTTTTTTCCTATTAAGCTTAACCTAAATGAAAGAAGTCTTTGAAAAAATCTAGTTCTACACTCTTTCGTTGTAGTATTTAAAATATTATTCTCTTAAGAAATGGTTTGAATGGTCGTTTGAAAAATTCAATCTTTTCGATGGAAATACGCAATTATTCATTTCATTTACAATTGAAACAACAATTTAGCATAATGTGAAAACAATATTAAAAAGTTACTTTTAAGCGATATTTAGAGGTAAATAGATGCTTTCTGAAAGCCTTTTTGAAAACCAAAAAAAAAAAAAACTTTTATTCTTTTTCAACAATTTTTTTTTGTCTTCATCTGTGAAATTTTTACTTTAATCCTAACAGTACAACTTGTATTAAGGATAGTTGTGCTTTACTTTTTCTTTCCTGTCCTTAAAACTTTTCTGAATTATATATATTTTTCTTAAATATACATACGTAGTAACTTAAGACCTTTCAGTTGTAAACTCAAAGATAAAACTTCAAGAAAAAAAAAAAACAAACATCAAATGTACAGTAAAAATGAAGAAAAAAGATTTAATCTGGATTTCTCTTTGGTTTCGGTATTAGCTGACCTAAATTTTAAAAATATTTTGAACACATACGCTTTAACTATATTTTTATATTACACTACATTTTTATATTATGTACTTCGACATACATGTACACATACACATAATAAATACTAGGTATTTGAACAGATAAAGTTTTGTCAGTTTTGTTTTTCTCGAAAAATTATCAAAAAATTTTCCTTTTTCTTTATTTTCTTTTACAATTATGTATTTGTCTTGCATAGTTTTGGTTTATTTAACATTGAATTTACCACAAATATTTTTCTTTATTTTTAAAAGATTTATTTAGTAAGAGTTTTTGAGCCTTATTTTTATTTGATCGCACAATTTATACAGAATAAAGTTAAGTAATCCACAATGTGTGTTAAGTGCATATTAACTTAGTTAAGCATTTACATTTTATTTTTTCTTTTCTCTTGTCGATTCTTCTTTTATCCCTTTTTTGTTTAGAGTATTATCGCATAAGGAGTTAGACATACTTTATTAGTACTCATACATTCTTTAATATAAGCAAAAATTTTATGTTTTTAAAAATTAAGAAACTATTAAAAAGAGTAGTAAGTCTCTTATAAATTTTTCTATATAGGGTATTCAACTTGAGCTTAAGTCGTTTTAAGAAAAATTGGTGTACCAAAACCATTTCTATATAATTAAATTAAGTCTGTACTTAAATTATGAACTTTAATATCATTCCATATAAATTGAATTTCATTAATCGTAATTTGTGCATTGACCACTATACTAACCAAAAAAAAAATATGGTTAAAATAATATCACGTGGGTATATGTACTAAATTTCGCACTAAAAGTGATATGAAAAAGGGTCCGGGAAAAGCTCAAGAAAGAAGCTGATAGAAGGGGGTCGGAACTATGAAAAAAATTCTTCAAAATTCAATTTTAAGAAACATCGTACCAGAATGTGGTAATAATAAGATCAACAAGATAAGGGTTCGTCACTATTCTCCTGAGTGAGTATTTCAAGCTTCGTTAACACATACCTGCAGAAGTCGATTGTGGAAGGCAATGGCACCTTTGTTGATTCTGTGTGGAAGAAGGGGAGACTTCAACACGCCTCCCAGTGGAGGATAGAGCTTTGGTTTACAAGAGAGGGAAGTTTCCAGTGTAGTTCCTTTTGGTAGCGCGTAAGGGCTGTGAAAAATAACCCTTATATGATACTTGAATTTATTGAAAATATATGAGTATATCTCGAGAGTACTTTTTAGGGAACATGTCTATAATTTTCTCGGAGGACGAGGCTGCAATATATCCATCCATCTATTAATGGCTTAAGGTGTAACTAAAAGAAGACGTACTAACAAATTTTAGGTATATAGCAGTTATTTCAAGAACTGAAAATCTAAAATTAAAAATAATTTTTTAATATTACATGTATAAATAGTATTAATTAATTTGAAATAGAAAAACAATTCTATATAGGATGCCAAGATTAAGAATAACTGCATTATTTACATTTACCATAATATACGTATACATTATTTGATATTTGTTTAACACATGTAATTTAATCTAAGAACATAACCAACATAATAAAATATAATGTAATGCATATAAAATGCCAAAACATTTTATTTGAAACCAAATTTATGCTAATATTAAAAATAAAATTTTCTAATTTTTTTCTTTTCAAACATTAAAAATCTAAATTTTCTTTTTATATGTATAATAAAATATAAGATTTTCAAAAAAAATTATCTATTATACTTACATGGTCGACATTTATATGCAATCTCAACAAATTTCCTTACACGAGGACATGGATCTGGCATTCTATGATGAAAACTACTGCTGCCAGCTTCACCACGGCCACTTGCACCAACACCATAGGTACCCGGTGTTGCATTAAATTTACAATGTTTCTTTTTTTGGCATGCTTCCACAACTGTTTGTAACAGAGAATACTGTGGTCAGCATAAAAAGAAAAAAAATTAAAAAGAAAAAAAAGAAAAATAAAATGAAAATTTATGTAAATTTCTTTTTTATATTTAGAATTAAAAGAAAAAGGACACTATTATTTTATTTTTATAGAGAGTAAATAAATATTACTGCTTTTCTTCTCTTTTTATTATTTAAATTAAATTATAAAAAAAATTGCTAATATGCACTGATTTTAAATAACTTCTATGTATTTGAAGATGAATATTGTTAGCCACAGCAGCATACTAAAAAGAATACAAGAAAATTTAAATGAGATCATATAAATTTTTGGTGTAAGACCCTTAAAATTCATGATTTTAAAATAAACATATGCGGTTTTGATTTTGTACTTTGGAAATTTTTCTTTTCGCTTTGTTTTTAATATTTTTATTAGAAAGCAAAAAAATAGCTTCTGAATCTCTCATGTAAGATGAATAAATGGTAAATTATTTTCTTATAAAAAAATTTATTTATTTTCTGAAATAATTGAGTGAGCTTGAATAATGTGCATGTTATAAATTAGTGCATGCTGGTACATACAAGATAATAAAGCTAGGACATTTTTACAACAGGATTATACAAAGGATCTATTCAACCTAATATACAGAGATCAACATTTGCAAAAATTTCTAAAATAAATTTTCGGGTTCATGTTATATTGAAATGTTATTTATTAAGTTGATTTGACATTCACATAATTAACAAATTTTTTAGTAAATAAATCTGTTTCAGGTTTAATGGTAACTAAAGATTTACATCGCATAAATGAGTTTGGTCAAAACGTATAATATGTACGAGAACAGATAGGGAAATAAATATGACAGTATACAACGTACATTGGGCAAGAAAGATGGCTCTTGGTACGGCTAGGAAAAATCTGGAACGATTGCAGAGACTCGCATGTGTTTGCATCACAGGGGCTATGAGAACTTGCCTAACTGCGGCAAAGGAGGTGATTTTGGGACCAACCTCTTTGCACCTTGTTGTCAAGATGGCAGCAAAGGTCGCCATTTTTAGGTTGGGAGAAATTGAGTCAGAGTGATTGAGGTCGGGATCGTCTTATCCCGGCGTTTCGGCTACTTTCGATATCTTAGGGCGACATGGTAAAGAAGTACAGCTGCGAGAAAAATTTTTCCACATTGCTGAGCAGCAGGAGGGACTGGGTGTGTGACTTTTGAGGTTACCCAGTGGGAACACACATTATCAGATGGTACGCTGATGGGTCGAAAACCAGTATGGAGACGGGTGCGGGGGTTTTTCTTGACCAAGAACCAAATTCTCCGAACCTATGGGAACTTTTTCGAGCGCGTTTTGGCGTTATTGCATGCCATTGAATTGTGTGTGCGATTCATTTTTGAAAGCCGGGTCGGATAGCCAGGCTACCATCAGAGCATCGAATTCTTTTTTGGTATCCTTCGCGACAGCATGGGGCTGTTTTCAGAAGCTCAATGAATTAGGCAGGCGCAACCGTGTCAATTTATGCTGGGTACTGGGCCACGTGAGCGTGGAAGGAAATGGGGCAGATGATACACTGGCAAGGAGGGGGAAAAATTCACCTCTTCTTGGATAGGAGCCCTTTAGCGGAACGGGACAGCGTACGATTCGTTGGGAAGAAAAGAAGGAATCAGAGAAGAGGCGGCCAAAGAACTGGAGAAGTCTTCCGAGGCTGCGGCAGGCCGAGCACTCCTCCTGGGGTATTATGAACAGGAGCTATTTAAGAGAATTATAGGATGGACGAGAACCATGTGAGAATTTTCACCGAGGTCTTGCCGGGTCACTGCAGACTTGGGGTGCACCTCAGTAGGTTGGGTTCGGAAGTTGGGGACACCTGATGATTCTGTGGGGAGTATGGAGAGACCTCGTAATAGAGTAATCATAAATTACGTTCATAGTAAAAAATAACCCTCAAAAGTCTACGAAAGAAATAGTTTCACGTAACAACACCCAACGAAAAAACGTAAGTTAAATCACCTAAACCGACTTTGATAAATTTTTTTGTATGGAGATTTTGAAACTAGTGTATATCAGCCAAGAGATTGGGAATATTACATGTGTTAATTAGGTAAAAAAATAAGCCAGATTACACAAAAAAACTTGTGTAAAATGTTTAGGAAACTAAGTTAAATATTCTAAGCTGTTTCAACTTATTCTTAGGTAATTTAACGTAGTATTATAATATAACATTAGGTAATGATCTATTTATGAAATCACCTTAGACTATAAGTCAATTTTACCAAAGCTAAAAATTCTTAGGTGTTGCTACTTAGGCAATATTTCCTAGGAATAAGTTATTATTCCTAAAAACTAAGCTGAATTATAAGTTCAAAATATATTTCCTAAACTTATGCTAAATTAGCTTAGTTCTTAGGTGATTTTACTTATATACGCAGATATCAATTCACCTAAGTGCTTGGGTAATATTGCTTAGTACTAAGCTATAATTCCTAAAAACTAAACTGATATACAAGTTCATAATAATTTTGTGAAGTCTTATATTAAATCAACTTAGTTCTTAGGTAATTTAACTTAAATTAAAGTTAGAAAAATGTGGTTAGAAATTCGCCTAAGCGCTAAGGTAATTTTTGCAAGCTTTACGTTTATCCAGCTAAGTTCTTAGGTGATTTTACTTATATAAAAAAAGCACGAAGTTATCAAGTCACCTAAGTGCTTGGGTAATATTCCAAAGTACTGAGCTATAATTCCTAAAAACTAAACTGATATACAAGTTAATAATTATTTTGTTAAGATTTATATTAAATCAACTTAATTCTTAGGTGATCTAACTTAAATTAAAGAGAGAAAAATTTAGTTACAAATTCACCAAAGCGCTAAGGTAATTTTTGCCAGCTTTACGTTTATCCAACTAAGTTTTTAGGTGATTTTACTTATACGAAATTGAAATATAATTATCAAACCGCATAAGTACCTAAGTAATATTTTTTAATAGTAAGTTACAATTCTTAAATACTAAATTATATAAAAGAAAGGTATACTTATTACCTCACCTGAATGCTTAGTTAATATTGTCTATGAACAAGCTATAATTCCAAAAATATAAGTTGAATTATAAGTTGATAATAATTTTGCTAAGTTTTATGTCAAATCAGCTTATTTGTTAGGTGGTTTTACTTATAGAAAGAGAAGTACAGTTAATTCGAAATGCAAATATTGAATCATCACGTGTCATTTTAAGAAATTGAAAAAAGAGGAAAAAAAACTAATAGAAATTTTTTACTTATGCTATAAAATATGCTCTTGCTAAAAAACCAACCCCATTCTAGCTTTTTTTATGCACATATGTATGTATATTAATTTTGAAAATTTTGTCCTATAATTTGGATTCAAATATTTTAAGATATTTCCATAATAGGCAATTCACCTGCTGTTTAATTATTAAAGTGCTCTTTTTTTTACATAAACTTGATAAATAAAAGTTAAATTATGTTTCTAAATCTGTTGGCGTGTTCACCATGCATTATCCAAATTAAAAAGCAAAATTATGCGTTGTTTTGTTCAAAATCATCTATTTCCATACGAAATACGCCTGGTAAATAATTGACAATTTGATTTATTCAGCTTTACAATTTCATATTGTAATTGAAAAATTAAATTTTTCAAACAACTTTTTCTAATTTTTTTTTGTTAAGCAAACTTTGTAAGTTGTTTCGAAAATAATTTTTTTTATAAATTTTCTACTCAGGTAGTTATCAAAAAAAAGTATGAGTCGACTCTTAGTTTATCAATAATTATACATGTGATTAACAACTTTTTGTAATAAAACTGAATTTTTATAATTATTCCAGACAGAAAAGGAGAACTTTTAAATAGAGAAAACAATTATTTCCTAAATTGTTACATTTTTAATGCAAGTGCTCATTTTTTTAATATACAAGAACTGTCCCTGCTTTTAAATAAGAAAACATCACTGAATTATAAATTCATAACAATATTTCTAAATCTTATGTTAAATCAGCCAAGTTTTTAGGTAATTTTACTTATAGAAAGAGAAGTACAGTTAATTCGGAATGCAAATGCTGAGTCACCACGTTGTCATTTTGAGAATAGAGGAAAAAAATAAGCAAATAAAAATTTTTTGCTTGTGTCATTATAATAAAATGTTGTCCTATAATTTAGAATCAACAAGCTTAAGTCATTTCTGAAATCTGCAGAGGATGGCATAATAATTAAGCGCTCTTTTAACATAAACTTGATAAATAGGTTGCAATAAAAAAATAAAAGGAAATAACCAATGTCGTTTTCAAAACTTTCTTATAAATTTCTTTCTGAACGATGTAAATTAAAAAACTAAATTATTTGTTGCTTTCTAATATTTCCCCGTTAAAATATTGATATTTTCGTTTGATTTTGAGGAAGACAATTTTTCATTTTTTACGAACTTTGATTGCATTTAAAATTTTCAATATAATCAAAATTTTACAATTTTGAAAAGATGTACATATACAATTCGTCAATTTCATTCATTCAGCTTTAAAAACTGTACAGCACATTTTATAGGTGGTTTTCAATCATTCCAAATCTATTCTATAACTTTTCTATTAAGGCAGTATAATCAAAGAAAAAATATTAATTATTACATATAACAAAAAAAACTTTATTTTAATACTTCAAATTTATATTATTATATAAATTGTCTGACTTATATAGATATTTATTGTAATATAGAAAACAGTCAACTTAAAATTTATGTTATTTATGTTACAACTTTTCGTATACTTAACGTAAATATAAATAGAGGAAAAAAAATATTTCAGAATTTTTAATTATCAGTGCAAGTGCTACTCTTGAACACATAGTAGAATCGCCTCTGCTTGTAAATATGTCATACCTAATTCCCAAAAATTAGCTGGTAAATTTATAACAATTTTGCCAAGTGTTATGTTAAGTTACCTAAGTTCTTAGATGATTTTATGCATGTGTACTTACATACATATGTAAGAGAGAAAAGTACAGTTATTAATTTATT